AAAAAAAAAAATCCCAAGTTTTAAATAGCTTGCTAGACAGATAGATAAATGTATGAAAAGTGTTCACCTTCAATAATCAGGAAAATGCAAATTTAGCTCAGCAGCACAGCATCTGCCTGGCAAGCACGAGAAAATAAACCAAAAAAAACAAAAAAAAAAAAAAAAAAAAAAAAGAACAATCCCAGATTTGTCAGAAAGATTACTATTTGTGAGCAGAAAACTGGAAAATTACTTAAAAATGTTAATATTTTTCTACTTTTCCTATCAGCACTATACATTACTTACTTTATTACAACAAAACCACAAATCAAAATTATCTTCTAAAAGCTTATTGGAACTTGTGTTATGAATGCTGTGTTAGGAAAACATGGTAATAACTTATATCGTTTCTGTGAGCCACCACAAGTCCAAGTGCTTTATAACTTTAACATTTTCTACTAATCTTGCGCAAATTGCTAGGAGTGCACAGTATTATCAGGTGCCAATCTATAGATGTGGGAAGTGACTTTCCCAGAGTCACACAGCTTGAAAGTGTTGGGGGTGAGATAAATGGCCAAGCAGTCAGGACTGACCACCCTGTTCCACCTACATTTATATTTAGAACAGCTGTATAAACACTCCAGAGAATGCTTATTCAAATGTTACTTTACAAATATATATATTTTACAAATATATATATTTCCTAAAATATATATATATATATATATATATATATATATATATATATATTTCCTAAAAATTATAATGAAACCCCACACTGACTTGATTTCTATAGTAGGACCTAGTCATCTGAGGATATCTGGAATGAATTAGAGGCCACTTAAAGTAAATGCACTCAACAAATGAGAAAATGTTTGATTAGAACTTTATCTTGCAAAAGGAAACTGCAGTTATAAAACTAGTTTCTTTTATCTTAGATTTAGGGAGGTTCAGGTTATATTTGCAACTATGCTGTAGTTGTTAGGATGAATATTGAGTTTTTATACATATACAAAAATGTGACACCGAACATTTCATTCTACCTCAGCTTCATCGATTGCCAAATGCATCCTGTTTTCAGAGATGTCAGAAGATGTACATCTTCAAATCAATGAAGCACACGGGAACAATACAACATCCCTTGCATTTGACCAGCCCCACACAATCTAAGAGGACATTTCTGTGAGTAGAGTGGATGTCTTCATCAAATTTCCCAGGATCTCTTTTTGTGCTTTTATAATCATCTGCTTGAAAGTGTTGATCTTGTCACCTTCTTTGTTAATTTTCTCTGCCTTGGTGTTCAGCTGTACTTTCACAGCCAGATCTGTATTTACCAGGGTTTCCTTTGACACATTCAAGAAGATCTCCAGCACCACTTTCATTGACTTAATGAAATTCCTGGTTTTGGCAGGATCTGTAATTTTATTCTGAAAACGATGAGGTTTACATCATTTCAGACACTCCTGGAAATGAGCACTGGAGAGAGGAAGGAGGAAGGTGTCTGACTGCTCTGTACAGTACATTGCAGCCTTGTGGGCCTCAATTCTGCCTCAGTTCTCCCATCTGCAAAGTGGGGGTACTCTGCATAGACCCTGCTGTACAGCACTGTTGTATGGGCAAACTAAATTAATGCACATGAGACAGTTAGTGTTAGGCCCACTGCAGCGCTCAGTAATAATGCCAGAGTTCATTATGATTATGGTTACAAGTGGGCATAGACACTTGTTTTAAATGGGGAGGGATCTCTGAGTGGAGATCATCTTCAGAGTGATCAGACAAATGGTAAATGAATACTGATATCTTCTAACAATGTTTGCTTCCTTACAAAGCATTCATACTGAGAAGCTTTCAATAGACATCTAGAAGCTCTTAATTTTCGTGAAGATCTTGGAACAAAGCTTTCCCTAACATCTCTGAACACAGATTTGAACTTCTGTAACTGTCATTTATTAGGAAGCTTTAAAAAAATCTATACTGGGCTTTTTTTTTTTGACTCCAGGCTGATGTGTGTCTGCTCAGATGAAGTTAAAAGCAGCTGTACTGGTGGATCCTGTTCTAGCAAACTCCAAGCAAAGAACAGGTCTGTTACATATCCATGTCAGCATGTAAAACTAGGAGTAGAATTCCAAATGAACACGTAACTGGTCCCATAATAGAGATCTTTTCAAAAGAGAGTTTTAAAGCTTGGCACAACTTCCCTACTTTTACATCTAAAGCGAAGGATGTAAGCAGTTGTTAGATGTTTTAACTTAACCTTGAAATAATTATTTCCTTTCACTTCTCCTTCAAACTTTTGGATCAATTTAATTGAAGAGTATCCATTGCCTGGGAGGGAAATGATGAAAGAAAATACTGTTGCTATTTGCAACTCCTTACATATATTTGTTATGATTTTTTTAAAACTGTGCAGAGAAAATAAATGCATAAATCAATTGTATCTTCAGAGTGAAATTGTAGTCATCGTCTGTATCTTCCCAAGGATTTTTTAAAAATTCAAAGTAGACTCATCCATGTCACAGAGTCACTTTTCTTAAAGACAGAGAGGTGTAACAAAAATTAGGAGGTATACAGCTCAGCAACTCACATGAGTGTTATGGTTTTATTGCATTTATTTCTAGTCTTTCTGTATACATGTATATGCTGGAGAGGGAAGGCGGTTGCTCAGCTTTAATATTTTATTTTGGCTAAAAATAAGTACTTTAAAAACCTAATTCCCGGTCCTATTTGCTTCTCTTATCTCTCGATGGGACCATTCTCATGAGTCAGTCTCCTTCTCTGGAGGGATGTCTATGTCTGCTCTCACCTGCCTGTATCCGTGGGGTCTACACTCATGGATTCCAGTGATGTGGATAGAAAATATTCAGAAGAAAAATGCCTTTCTACTGAATATGGACATTTTTTCTTGTTACCGTGCCCCAACAATATAGTTAATAACTATTTACATAACATTTATACTGTTTTAGGTATTGCAAATTATCTACAGATGACATAAAATCTATAGGAGGATGTGCACAGGTTCCTGCACCTACTAAGCCAGTTTAAGAAGCAAACTGAGAAAATGCAGATTTTGCCATCCCAGAGCCAATCTGCCATGGATTCTGAGGGGTGACTGTCCCTATGGATGCACACATACTCATCAACATGCATATACAGTAATTAACATAAAAATGGATTTTAACTATATTTATGTTAACAAAATCATTAATCTGTCTTATACTAAAACTTCACTTGAAGATAAAGACCCTCTGCTCAGAAAATTTGCAAAATCATGAATTACAGCAACTCCAGGACTCCACTGACTCTGAGCATGTGACGTGGTCCTGCCCTGACTCATCCATCTTCTCTCTTCTTTTGTCTTCCTGAGGTCCATGAATTCCAGCATTGCTCTTTTTGAGAAGCATTCAGCATCTTGCCCAGTACCATCTCCTCCCACCCGACATTAGCGCTCCTGTCAAACTCAAGCATCCTATGAGAAATCTTCTAGCTGTCTGAGAGGGCATCCCCTGATCTGGACAGAAATTATGAGGCCACCACATAATACAAGTGGGTCTCCCAAGAAAGTTCCTTGTGAAAAGCACTCTGAGTCCAGTGGAGAAGAATCGGATGGGTTTCATAACATATTTAAACCTTAAGGTCTTTTGGAAAGGTTCTAAAAAAATGGCTGTAAGAATATGCCACTCTTCAAAATGAAATCAAAACATCTTCTGAGAGATTTCTACAAAATGCTTATGTGATGTGTGGCACAAGCTGTGGCTGGATTTGACATCCAAATCCTGCCATCGCCTCCCCTTTGCAGCGACCCAGGAGAGATGGCCTG